TAAGAAAAGATATCAGGGAACAAGACCAAAAACATCACTATATATACTAGTCTGTGGTTAACTATGTAAACAATAATGACTACAATAATCACAATAACTACAAATCATTTTATTTACAACATGTGTGTGTTTGTTATAATGACTGTATAGCCAGAAAATTTGGCAGATTGGCAGTTCTATCATACTGAAAATGGTAGTATTTCTCACTATTTTAGTACAGTTCTATCATACTAAAAATGGTAGTATTTCTCACTATTTTAGTAACAAAGTCAAGACTAAGGGCAAGGCCTGTCAAAGAGCAGCTTCAAAAAGAGCTGAGAGTGCTTAAAGAAAAAACAAGATAGTAAACCACCAATATTATTTAGACAGTTTTGAAGCACAAACACCAAAGTTTTATACAGCCAAACTTTCTGGCTATACGGTATTAAGATGTACTGAAAAAATTTGAAGTAAAATTAATTTTACACACAATCCCTAAGTATGCATGACATTACATGGAAATGTTATTGAATAATTATACTAACTGTCACAATAACCACAAATATTACCTTCATCATGTTGTTCCTTGTCTTGTCTTAGTGCAGATATCATAATAGGATCATCATTAATAGTCTTCAAGAAAAGAAAAGCTTTCTCATCATTACTAGATGAATCATTCCTTATCTGCTGTACAATAGGAAGGGACACTTCTTCCACTGACAGTATAAACTCTAACAATTGAAGTGACTCCAACATTGAGTAAACACAACTACTAGGAATGACTCCCTCATTATCAGACACCAAGGATTTTCCTTTCCAGTAAAAACTATTCTTTTTCTCATATATCTCCAGCTGCTCTCCCTCACTGAATGATATTTCATCACTGTCCATTGCATGATAGTCATAACGAGCAATAAAAACAGATTCTGCTGTTGGCTTATTCACTATATACCAGTGCACAATATATCAATCAGTTAATAAAAATATAATGACACATACTTTTTAATATATTTCTATAATTTTCATTCTCTTCTCTTTTATTTAGTATATGTACACTCATTAATGATATCTGTTCTTGTAGTTCAGCTATTTCTCTCTTAATATCTATTAATGATTCATTCTGATCCAGTAAACCTATCATAGTATAATTATAATATACTAACACATACATAATTATGATTCAGTACCAGTTTTATTTGTCAATAATAATTGCAATTCTTCTATTTCCATTCTCAATCCTCTTCTTATTCTGTATGATGCTATAAATAATAACAATTAATAAATAAAATTTTTGTAATATTAATAATTCAAACCTGAACTATTATTTCTTGGAAAAGACAGAAGTTGTTGAATTTCTACATTATTTCAATTACCGTAAGGGGGGTAATTTTCGTGGGTAAAATATTTCGTGTTTCTTAATGAAAGACTTAAATTTGAAAATTTCGTGGTGTATTATTTTCGTGGTCAATAATTGGGGGTGTGTCTTCATATGATGGGTGTGGTCAATTAATTTTCCACGTTTTTCAGTGTTGCCAGCATGGAGTTGACGCACAAGTCAGTAGTTCGAGGCTATCACGTCTATAAGGATGTATGGCAGGCAGTCACTGGTGAAATCCTTCGTTGTGAAAGAGAGAGAACAAACAGGCACGATCCTTTTGCAGTGGCTGTCATCCAAGATGGGATAATGGTAGGCCATGTGCCCAGAAAAATTTCTGCCGTTTGTTCGATGTACC